CTATATCGTTAACTCGTTGACGTTTCAAACATTACAACATTATTCTTTTACAAACTAATCATGGGAACGAGTCAGTCAACGAAATATGAGTATACCGATGTCAAGTCAAGTGTTTCAAAGGTTAATGACTTTCAAAGGTGAGTACAAAAACAACTCGCTGTTTGCTTGCACCAACTCATTCGAAATTGTTTCTACTCGCAATTCATGAGTTTTGTTTTCGTTTAAATAAAACTATTTTTTATCAACAGCGATGTTGACAGTGGTACAGCGCCATGTAACTTTGCGTCTGAGCTGGAATACATGACGACATTTGAGGGCGTCCTACAAGACTTTGTAACTCAGTTTCTGCAGATGAAAGACGAGAATGCCAGATATCGGACCAAATGCGAGTCCAACATACTACGGTGTTTTCGTAAAAAGAAGAGATCGAATGATTATGATTGCCCAGACAAAATTCATGACTTGCAGAAAATGTTTAAAGCAATGCAAGAACAAGTATTTGTACTGGTGGAAAGAAATGGGTCACTGCATCGGCATGTACTCTCCTCGACGAAGGATGAAAGTGAAGTTCAACCGAATGAATTACAAAAGACATGTCTGAAAGAAAAAGAAAGAACCGAGAAAAAACAATTGTGTAACGAATTAATAGACTTAAAGTTAAACTTGGAGATACGAGACACTTTAAGAAGCGAGGCTGAAAAAAATAACTGTGAATTATTATCGTCAATTGACTTACTGAAGCAAGAATTGGAAAAAACAAAAGATGAATTGGACAAGTCAAGGGACAGGGAACTTAAATTAAGTGATGACGTCATAGAACTTAAAGAAAACATCAAAGAGTTAACAGAGATTGCGACTGACACGTTGCAAAAACATAACTGCAACGAGGAGGAATACGAATGGAAAATATCACAATTGGAAGACCAGCTCAGCAATTTTAAAACGTGCAAAAAAGAAATCACCGCGTTGAGAAACGAAAACAGGAAATTCAAGGAACTGTATGGTAAATACAAGTCTCGAAGAAAGAACACCATGCAACATTACTCGGGTTTGATCGGAGAACTTCGGAAATCTTCACCGAATAATTCGATGCTTGAAGAAACACATTCGATGTTAACCGAGAGTTTAAGAAAATATGACAGAAAATCTTTTAAATAAAGCTTGGCTATATAATGTATACTATGTTTGTTTCTTTATTTTCTTCACCCCTATGGGAGCCAATACCTATTGCTACATGACGTCGTACCTTGTATAAGTGTTGTCTATTACATAACGACACGTGATATGGAACCACAACACGTTCCTGTGATACCAAGTACTAGTATAGGTCCTGGCCTAAATACAACTCGGTTAATTGTGTTGAAAATAAAAAATTGGTTTATTCATACAGACCATTTTTGCAATGAAAACTGCCTTTTTCTCGTGAATTCTTGTGTTTTATTTCCCATCATAGAGGGCGGTATTACTATATGATTTTCGAAAAAAACAATTTCCTGCCTATGTACGATAATGAAAGTACTCTCGCTACATATCATATTGCGTGTACATAAATACAATTTGTTTATTTTCATATTATGTTCTCGTTATTAAGGTAGAAGCCTACTCATCTTTTTTGAGAGAGTTGGTCATAAATCACATGACAACGTTAATTGGTCTAATATGTGAAATCCTAGAGCTATTCTCCCATGGCATCATAAAATAACATTCTTTTGTGTGTTACAGTGACGTATTTGGATAAACTTGTTCCTAATATTTTTTGCAAAAATCGCTATTTTTAGAACAATTTCATAGAGCGCAATGTTAAACAAAAATTGCATTTTTCGACACCTTTTAAAACCCAGATTTTTGAAAAAATAAAGGACAACAAAAAGCACCAGGCTACAAATTGAGATATGGCATACTATCTCTGCTATAGGAACCTATGGTAAAAGCACTATAATACTGCCAAAATGGCTGCTATCCACCTAAAATACAACCATGATTTTCTCAAATATTAACCTGGTGACCCCCAACTTTTATATTCTTATATTACCCGAAAGTACAATTTATTGAAAAATTAATAAATTCTGGGTATTTGAAATCATGAGTAGGCTTCTAGCTTAACGGCCTTTCTCGTGCGAATTGGGGTTTTATTTTTCTGTATGGAGCAGTGCTACTGTTGGATTACATGTTATACAGCTGCACTCTCACATACAAGTTAACAACGAAGTACATTTCAACTGTTCTGTCGGTGAAAATAAATCAAGATAACTCCGATTTTAGTCAAAGTGTAGAATCCGTGGGTTTCGTCGCCATCGCATAATAATGGAGAACTATCGATATCATATAGTTTGTGTGTTCTTGTTCTTACCAATGCAAACGATGGTCGATGCGCACCCAGCCTAGAGGGGAGGAGTGTGGTGAAATAACGGTCAACTTACTATATTCGTTTTGGTTTTAAAGTGTGTATATATATACGTGTGTGTGTGTATGTCTACTAGTGTAAGTTCATTGGGACTGGATTCGTTTTCGTGGATTTGGTTCTGAAATCTGTTTTCATCTAATATTTCTCCTATCATGGATTTGAAGACAGAATCATACAATCAATCCCGGCAGTCAGTCAAGTGCGTGCCCCGGGAAAATGAATGTCCTAATTTGCGATAATTAATTAATTAACATTTTCTTTGCTCTAAATTCGCCACCATCCAAGAACTAACCGAGTTTCCAAAGTTGTGATGTGGAGATGCTAGTTAGTCAACTTTGTCACAATCATAAAACAAGGCATTTTTTCAAGAGACACTTTCTGAAGGA